TTAACGGTGGCTGATACTTTTGATATGTGCCACCGTTATATTTGTAAATTGTAAATTTTGCTCGGACCCCCAAGATGCTTATGCACCTATTGTTTCCTACCCAAAAAAAGAATTCTATGGATAATTTGTGTTTCTACGTGTTTGGTGTAATCACCTTCTTTAATATGGAGATGTTGTTTATTGCATCGCAGGATATTCTCAGCGGCCGGAATCTTCCCACAGCTACAATATTAGTCTGTTACGTAACACCCTTGATGATCACGAAAATTTTCGCGCCGTGGTTTGTTCAAAGGATTTCGTACTTAGTAAAAGTTTCTTTCATCGCTCTTTGGATGATGCTTGGAATGGCTCTGATCGTTTTCGTGGAAGATATTAGAGTTAAACTTGTGGGAATCACTTTAAATGCGATGGCGGCTGGCATGTCTGAAGTAATATTCCTTGCTTTGACTTCGTTTTATCCTCAGATTGCCATTAGCTCGTTCCTTGCTGGCACTGGTTCGGCTTCTCTGATCTCTCAACTCTATTACACAAGTAAGTAAAATATTCTCAGTCTTTGTTTACAGCAGCAAAGATTTTTAGGAACTCATCATACAGTACTTTTGAAAATTAAGGGACCGATCATTTTTTACCGATTTGAAAAGAGGGGTTGAGGATTTTGGGGATATCACATAGTTTTTATTGGGAACGGAGTAGGGCTCAGTCGTGACCAACAGAGTATTAAGAAAGGACTGCAGAAAATTGACAGCCACTTAACTGCAAATGAGGGGGTATCATATTTCAGAGCAGGTATACAATATCGTGACACAAACAAAATCCTCCGATTCTCTCCGCTCCACATTAAAAGTATCAGGAAGGAAAGAAAGACTCTACTAGTTTTTTAGTTGATACCCACACCAATATTTCAAACTTGACTTCGAGCCCGTATACGTTATTTTAACGTACGTGATTTTCGAGAAACTGGTACCAGGATCGCAAACTAATTCAATTTAAAACCTTTTAAACCCTAATCTTCACGGCTTCCGGCAAACAAACGTTCGGTCACGAGGGGAAGAAAGAGAAACAAAGGAAATCTTGCCCCAGTCCGGGCCGAGTCTCTTCTTTATTCCTGTCACCTCCACGCTCTTTCCCCCTTCCTTATTGAACCTTTCCTCTCCCCGTTCAATTAATCAACCAAAAGCTGGAACAGTCTGCCGTTGTCCAAGGGAATTGTATTCCCAAGGGAATTCCTGACGCCTATTTACACCTCGTCAGAAAAAAGGCCGCTAATTAGTGATCATATAAAAGGACCTCTTGTTGCAACGTTTAGATCACCCCTGATGAAGGCACTAGACAGGAGTGTCGAAACGTTGGGTCTATGAATTGTAACTTCTTCGGTTACATTCATTAAATCTGCAAACCAGTGTAGCTTCAAACTATGTCGGAATTGTATTTGTTTACCACGTGAATTACTGCTGCGTGCAGTAGAAATAACCATGATTCAAAAGAAAAGAATAAAAAAAAAACATATCAACCCTTTCACTCCCAAGACCTCATTACTAATTCTCCTAAATGACCGCCATACATTCGTAATTATTTTAGTTCTGAGAATTTGTTTATTGGAGGAACTAATAATCCCCTAATTGACATTTCTCTTTGTTCTCATCACTGGTCTGCTTGATATTGTGTGGATATTATTTCCTTCAGGTGTTACAACGTGGAGTTGTGCGGAGTCTCCTAAGACCGCCATAATGATAGTGATTCCGTTGCCCTTGTCAATCTTAGTGTCTTACGCAATGCTGGACAAGGGAGACATCTCGAACGGAGAAGGCCTGGGTACCAAGGTGGTGAAAAAAGCAAAATACACTGCAGTCTCCATGGATGAACTCTTGATTCCTTCCCAAAGACTATCTTATGGCGAAAAATTTAGGATTGGTCGAAAAATTATTTGTTTCATCATTCCTCTATTTTTTAGTTTTTTCGCAGAGTATCTGGCTAATTCTTCAGTGATTACTACGATCGCCTTTCCTAATTCTCAAGTTCTTCCGCGAGATCACTTCCTGTATTACTCGCTTTCGTACTGCACTGGCAAGTTTCTGGGAAGGAGCTATTTGCTTTTATTCGCTTGGCTATCAAAAGACCTCACGGAGTTTTTATTCTGTGACAGAACGTGGATTTTCGCCGTATTGGAAATAGTACTACTGATTTTCTTCTTGTTCCAATCATGGTACCATTTTGTCTCGTTTATTTGGATAATAGTCTGTCTTTGTTTTACTCTCGGTTTAGTTTCCGGTATGATTTATTTGCACTCGCCTCATGCCGTCGCGCGGCACGTTGAGCCCGAGGAGAAAGAGTTTGCCCTGGGACTGATAACAGTTGGTAACTCCGTGGGTGCATTTGTTGGTGGATTGGTGGGGTTGATTGTGGAATCATATCTCGTGGAGAATTGCGTTGCGCAGTTCTCAAACAGCAAAGAGTTCTGTTTCACCAGGCATAAGAATACTTCTGGTTGGGGAAGTAATATTCACTGTTCTCAGTGAAAACGTTAGCCATAAATCGTTAAAAGAGAGACGGATTTCCTTCGTCGCGGTTTGTAAGGCTTTTTAGCGATAATAGAGACCAGTAACTATTTATCGCCCGTGAGGGAAGGGATGGGGGATTTTTGGCAACATGATTGTTGGAAGAAGTCAGTAGAATTTCTGTCCGAGGTTAGAATGACTTTAGATGTATTACGGGAAAGCGCTTAACGATCTCATTTGGTCTATCTGTGTTTTATGTCACTCTGTTTTTACACATCTATCGTAAAATCATGGTGGTAGAACATGGATTCTTTTTTGGACTCTCACAAAGTTATACTAGTTGATGGAATAGAAAAGAACAATCCTTTAAATTTTCTGAATGGATCATAAAAGAGCATGATCGCTCTATGAGAGGGGTGATCGTGTATCAACCTCCAAATTCATCGCTACATAACATTTTGTTTCCTTATAAGAAGTAATTATTTCTTATGTATTCACTGTTCAGTGTCCTATCAGTTTTCTACGATCAGTTTTATCACGCAGGCAATCTTTTCAAGTGCAACAGGAACAGCTGATGTCCAAGGACAAATCTACGGGGATATTTTCGCGCTAACTGGAGGTTATTGTGTTAATTATCCTTCAAATATTTTTACAACCTGCAAGATGAACAGATAAACTTTTCCCTTCTTCTGTAATAATGGCTAAAAGCTTTTTTATCTTGAATTAGATTTTAAACGAGCACTTTTATCCTCGTAGACGTATATAAGATTTGAAATTTGGGAATATCGCTTGAGGTATATCCTTGGATATTTCCCAGGTTTAGCTGAGGCATATTCGATTACCTGATGCTTTTAGATCGATGGCGCGCGAGCAAACACATTTGATGAATTGTAACTAAAATTATTTACCAAAGTGGAGGTAAATATTAGTTGTTATTCACTTCCGAACAAGCCAATCAGCGCGCGCGAAATGCACTATTCACGTAGCTTGTGAGGTATGTCTTGCATTAAATTCTATTGATAGTCCTTGAACGTATTTATTATTTTGAAAATATCCACCCCTTCCGTTTTTAAGAGAAAAAATTGGAGTTTGAAAGAGGGGGCTAGAGCTAGGTAACAGCTTCTGGGCAAGAGCCAGCTGTCACCCAAAGGAAAATTCCTAAGGGATTTAATAGGTCATACACTAAACATTCTGCAGAGTTTCCGTTCCATTCAAATTATTGTTGAATGATTTTTAAGCGCATTGAGCAATAATTTAAATCTGAATTGTTAGATGTCAATTACTTCTTTAGAAAATCATCCGTGCAGTCGTCAAAAATTAATACATTTTGAAAAATGACATGAAGCTGAGAACGCTTGAATCGCGAAATTGAAATTTCTTTTTTTATTACGCCCAGTGAAATCGTGAAATAAAACCCCTTGAAATATACCGTCTCGCCAAAATTGCGAAACTAACCACCCGCCAAATTAATGTAAGTTCCGATAAGGTGTATCATGTTTTACATGCCGCTTTCTACGGAACACTAACAACGCCTTACAGAGATGTTTCTTGCTTGTCTCATTCGATTGGTATATCTTGTCCGTGTTGAAGTCAACCGCTCATCGCCTTAGTTTGCTCCTCTTTCACCCACTACAGGCGGTTGTTGGTCAAAAGCACTCTCTCCAATTTTTCCAGAGCTACAGAATATTCGCCTTTCAATTTCTTTAGCTTCTGAAATTGTTTTTCGTAGCAACAACTGCAAGAAAACTACGCGAAAAAATCTCTCCCTAACAACGTAAATCAGAGGATTAAACAGGGAATTCAGTACCGGTAACAGGGAAGAGATAGAAAATATTACATATCTCTTTTCTGCGGAGATTTTGTCCACATAAGCATTTATAATAGCTATACAAATATATCCTGGAATAAAAGACAGTAACATTACGAGTATTAGTATAAGTGTCGTAGAGAAGGCTTTCGTATACCCAATAAGCTGTTTTTTCGCGTCGGTGGTTGCATTGGTAACCATAATTTGCCTTTTGCGGCGGCGAACTTGTATATACACAGAAATGTTGAAGTAGAATATCGTGGGTATAACAATAAGTAATATTATAAATACCGCTAACGTTGCCAGAAACGGTCTGCTCAGTGTCTTCCTAAGATAATCGGTGGGAAGAATGATAGCCGCAATCCAGGCAATTCCCGACGCAAGGAGGATACGAGTCTCAGTGACCATGTTTGAATACCGAAGGGGATAATGTATACCGATATAGCGCTCTGCGCTGATAAGGAACAAATGAAAAACCGATGCTAACACACATCGAATGCTGACAACCACTACCACGTCAACTACCGTGCAAAACTGGCTGTTATGAGCTTCACCTTTGATCATTAAAATGTACCTGGCAATTTGCAGTGGCTGAACAATGAGTCCAACCAGAACATCAGTTGTGGCCAGACAGGCAAGAGTTATGTTGGATTTGGTGCGAAGCCGTTGCTTGGTTTTCACCGATATCATCACCATAATATTCAAGAAAATGATCAAAGGACATGTGGTGGCGTTAATTGCAGTCCTGCTTATAAAAACAATATAAACAGCCCGTGAGTTTTCTGCAGCATCTGGAGAAATGAAGGGAAGTCCACAGTTTAGTAACGACTTGTTGGCGATGACTCTGTTCATTTTGACGTAGTAGCTTTGCTTCTCAGTAAGATTAGTTCTGTTTTTTTTTCTTCTTCTCTGTGCTTTTTATTGATTACTCTTCTGCTGATTATTTCCTGGGTTTCAAAGCGGAAGGACTATTCACCTGCTTGATGCTAGTCCGCAAATTGAAAAAAAAACCGCAAATTCCAGACACTCTGTCTAACGTAGCTACGAGAAAATGATGAAATGGTAGAAAATATCATCGCAAGGTACAGAGTATCCATTGAATATGATCTTCATTATCAGGATTGTAGTAAAAAAAGAGGAAGCAAGTTAGTAACCGAGGACAGCTGTTTCTGTCTCATTAAGGGTCGATTCACGTAAGGGAGTGCGGGAGAGGAACGCGGGCTCATATTCCCGAACAGCGGTTAGTAATCGAGCCTATGTTTCATTACGCCTCGTCTAAATGGCTCAGCCAGCAATATGACTCATGGATTGTGGGAAGTTGCCATAACGACGTGATGATTACATTGTCTAAGTGGTAAATTTAAACAACGTCAAAATTTCAAAATGGAGTTCGAAAGAGGGAAACAGGTTAACAGAGTCACAATCCGCGGATGCATATGTTGCGAAAACATCGTCCATTCATTTTCTCCTTTGAAACAACAACACATACAAGTGTACCCAACCTGTCAAATAGGCTTTTTATAATAAAAAAACAAATCAACTGTCAAAATAACCGTACAATTACGTTGAAGAAATGTAAAATGGTTTCCGTGTTTACATAGCCTGATGTAAACACACTGGAGGTTGGGAGAACACGAGATAAGGGTAGGAAACCACGACGCGAAGCGAAGTGGTTTCCAGCTTATCGAGCGTTCTCCCAACCTCCCAAGTGTTTACATCAGGCTATGTAAACACGAAACCATTTAACATTTCTTTTGTAAAATAACTAATGAAAAAGGAACGATAACCGTGTTTACATACGCTCATGTAAAATGGTTTTATGGCCAATCAGAGCGCGCGTACTATTTGAATTATTTTATAAAAGATATTTGTACTCTACTAACGCGTTGTTTGTACTCTTCTTTGTGCAGCTGGATAATAATGACTAATATTGATAAAAACAATAATAATAATCAAGGGAAAAAAATAAGAAAGCGATCTTCGCTGTAATGAACACTACTTAGGCAGTAGTAAAAATAATGCCTGAAAAATTTAGACCTCTGCGACAGCGATGCAGTACCCTACCAACTGAGCTGACAAGCCAACTCGGAGCTGGTCATTTGGATGGTTCGTAATAAACTCGTTAAGTGATGAATAAATGACCGTAAATATATAGTAATAATGATGATAACAAAATAACGATGAACGGTGATATCAAAAGCAATGACAGAATTGGTGTTGGAACAAAATTACTTTTACGATCTATCGCTATTGGCGAACGTGTAAGATTTTTTACAGAAAACTCTCACTTTACCCTTCCTTAATTATCACCATAAATCTCAGAATCCCCCCAAACGCAGTTCAGGATTTATTAGAAGAGCCTCTGATAAGAAAAATCCCTGCGCGGGAGGGGACGCTTCCTAATGATAGGGTAATGGGGAATGTCGCTGGATGGGATCGCATTTTCACGACTGACTATTATGGAGTTGCATATTCACCACTGGATTGACTACTGTGGGGTTGCATTTTCACGACTGGATTGACTATTATGGGGTTGCATTTTCACGACTGGATTGACTATTATGGGATTGCATTTTCACGACTGGATTGACTATTATGGGGTTGCATTTTCACGACGGCATTGGTAATTATGGGATTGCATTTTCACGACTGGATTGACCATTATGGGGTTGCATTTTCACGACTGAATTGACTATTATGGGTTGCATTTTCTCGACTGGATTGACTATTACGGGGTTGCATTTCAATAGTTTCAAGAATGGGATCACATGTTTTCGGGATTTTAGGGGTAAGAAAACTCTAGTAGGAGGAGATTAAAAAATGGGAAGATTCGTGGCTAAAAAGTTGTTACCATATGGCCAAAAGTGACTAAGATAGCCGGGGTCTGTAACTGGCCAAAGAATACACGACACAGGGCAGATATTTTTAAAGGGCAGCGACACGTACCCAGAAAAAAATTGACCAAAGTAACCCCCCCTGGGAATTGATTTGTTTTCAGAATGTTATATAGGTTCAGAATTACCACTGCTTGCTGATGAAAACTGCTATCAAGACTTCGATCTCTTAGTTTTAAAACTCCAAAGTTTCCCGAAATTCGTCCGCCATTGCTGATAAAGGGTCGGGCTAAAATTGCGTCTAACCCTTTAAATTCTAAAAGTGACCAGCATCTAATTTCTCCTAACAGGAATACCGTTGAATCATTTAGGAAGATCGTGAGAATAAAGGAAATGATCACCATCCTAAGAAGCTTTGATTGTTAAGTAAATTCTCCTTGCCAGGTACAAAGGAAATGTTTAAAGAAGAGTGAGGAGAATATAGATACTGATGTTATTTGGTTTTAGTTTTACGGCACCGAGTCAATTGAACAGAGCTTAACATACTTGAATCGAACCAACACAAACTCCAATCTCAGTATTCGTTTCATAATTCGTTTATTCATGTTTCCTCGATGTATTTACTTCATACAAGTAATCAGTTTAACTTAAATGAAAGAGAGATAGAATTTAGAGAGAAACTTGCTGTAATCAGGAGCCCATCAATTGGAGCCTCTATCTTCCAAGAGGGCATCTGCGGGGTTAACCGTCAACCGTAAAACTTTAAGAAATTAACCGTTAGCCGCTGTAAATGTCCAAATTTTTAACCGCTAGCTGTAAAAGCCATCACCCCATTGAGACCCTCTTCCAAACGAAGCCTAGGAGTCATTCCTCTCCCGAGGAGAGAGGCCCTCAGGGGAAGTTTCAGGTCCTAAGAACCAGTCACGACAGAGCTGTGACAATCCTACTGGTTTAGGTCCAACATCCGTTCGCATGCACTGGTCAGTGAAATCAGTTCCTGAGACTCGCAGTTGACTAAACGGAAATATGATACATCTCGCTGGAAAAAGCTCAACTAAAACTAAATCTACTCGGGAAAGGGTTGACTGGAAGAATCAGTGGAGATAAAGGATCCTGTTGATGGGCTCCTGTACAGAATTGCCTCCTGAAAACATCTTTGTGGTCAAAAGTGATATTTCACACTTTTAAAACGCATTTTTCAAAGTCACCCAGAAATACGCTGGGCGACGTCAAGATACAGGCACGTTATTTTTTCTAACTTATAAATGCTCTCACTCTGGTTCCTATTTCTTTAACCACATCTTTTGGTTTTATTTTGCCTATTTCATGAGTAGCATTTGCTTCCCCTTAAAAGTGTTTACAAAAATTAAGTAACCCTGAAGTTATTGTGGAGCTTAGTTGTCTCAAACATTATCACCTAATTGGACATTGCATTCAATTTTTTCATGTAAATAAATAATGTTAAATAAATAGTGTCATTTTTTTACGCGTTACTACTCCCTCATTAAGTATTTTCAGTTAATATAAGGTATTTGTTTCGTGCGTGTGGGCTGTGGCTCATGAAACGTTTGTGATTCACAATAGTGAACATGCTCAAACGTACATTCTCACTTCCCAGGCTCCCACCCCTCCCCCCCTGAAAAAAATAAACTAGGCATTTTTTTGCCATGTTTGGACAACTCCGGAAAATGAAGATGGGTATGAATTGAAGCAAAATTGAACTTTTTAAAAAATAATTTTGAAAAAAAAAATAACAGGTATTTCTTTCTTCTATTTTGAAATTAACAATGGAAATTACTGTCCCATCCTGTGGTATTCCGCATACGCGTAAAACAGAATTCTTTACTGGCTGAGAAATGTTGGATGCACTCGTCCCTAAGATACGGTTCCACAAACAAGCCTACCAATCCGGCCGTGAATCCTCCCACTGCGTTACCTATAGTTAGCAGTCCCAAGGCGAACTCTCTTTCCTCGGGCTTGGTATACCGCGCGACAGCATGGGGCGAGTGAAGGACAATCATACCCGCAAAGAGCCCAAGAGTGGAACAGAGGGCAATCATTACCCAGATATACGGGACAAAATGGTACCAAGATTCGAACAGGAAAAACACCAGGTGTGACATCTCAAATGCTGCCAGAATCCACGTCCGATCGCACTTCAGGAGGTCAGTAGCTTCAGGGGGTAGACATGCAAAGACGAACAAATAACTCCTACCAATAAACTTACCGATTCTGTAGGAAAGCGAGTAGTAGAGGAAGTGGTCCCGTGGATGAATGTGCGATTTCGGAAAGGCGATTGTTGTCACCACGGACGAGTTAGACATGTACTCGGCAAAGAAACTAAAAAATAAAGGGATTATGAAAGGCAAGATTCTTGCACCGATTCTCAGCTTCTCGTCGCATCGTGGTCTTTGGGGGACTTCCGTGGTCTGTTCTGTATCTTCGTTCGTTGATCCTACGATGGAATATTCAACCCCTTCGTGTTCCGTGGGCTTGGCGTGTGCAGCAGTCACAATATATTCCTTGTCCAAAATTGCGTAGAAGACCAAGATGAGTACAGGCAAGGGAATTGTCATCATAATAGCGGTTTTGGGAGAGACACAACCCCACGTGGTCAGACCTAAAAAAAGAAAATGACGATATTTTCATATCACGCAATAGCGGGACTTGGTGATCATTAGAAGGAGAAATTAGAAGCTAATCACTCTAAGGGATCAAAGAATTTGATAAGTTTACGAGTCAAAAGTACTGTATACGAAACATAACAAACGCCAGCAGCATATTTCAGTAACCGTGCCTTTCGAAAACCATTGGACGTTTTGATAATTTTGTTACCAACACCATCGCGTGTAATATATTTTTAAAACTTGATTTCTAGTAATTTTCCATAAAAAAACAATAAATAATTTTTCTTTTCTTTCCACATGGTAATGTAGATAGCATTCATGTTGATGTTTGAGTTTCATTCTTTTGCATTTAAAAATGATTGGTCGGGATTGATGAGAATAATCTGTGATCAAAGGTCTCTTTAAGTACAGATGGTCCAAAAAAAAGGGGGAAAAAAAAGAGACAGAAGAGCGAGAGATGACACTAACATTTGCTTGACAAGATTCGAGCAAAGTTTTTCAAGAAGCGATTCGTTCGAAGGCTCGGCGTAAGTTTAACGAGCTTTGGGAAGAGAATAATCGAGATTTTCCAAGAGCCATTCAATTCAAACTTCTGATTTAGTGCGCTTTTCGATTGAAAGTCGTAAAGCTAAAACCAAAAGTAATCACAACGTCTGTTTCATTTAAATTGCTAGCAAATGTTCTGTTTGTCTGTTTATAAACAATTTGGAATCGATGTGTGACGTTGATATCAAGAACGGGAAAACGCACAGGTTTATTACGTAAAAAGAAAGAAATAAAAATATATTAGCGAGGAAAGGAAAGGCATTTTAAATTTGAGGAAGAGGGATTATTAGAATAAAGATGATTTTAAATTTAACAGCCTAAGGATGAGTCTCGGTGACAAAGCCACGCAACTAATATACAAGAAATGATATAGCATGCAGTCGATCAGTATCATTCATGATCAGTTTGCTCCAGGTCATGTGAGTCATGGAAAGCGAAAAAATTTACATGAATTGTTAAAAAAGGTTAGACGAGCCATCAGGATGTCTTGCTTGATGAAATACTTTCAACTTTAGTTCTGGATTGAGTTGCTAACAAATTTTCTCGATCCTAGCTTAGGAGTTGTTACAAAATATTTCCAAATTAAGAGGAAAACGTATTTTGTTTTTCGCGAGCTCACAATAAGATGACACACGTCAATTACGAGAAGAAGGAAAACTCACTGAACCAAATCAATTAAAACAGCCATTTTTTTGAATAAGATATTACCAACAGTTATTGACCGACGATTGTTTAGGCTTGAAATCACGAATTTAATACATTCTACCACCATGAGACCATTTAATTACGATTGAACACGCCTGTTAACAAAATGGCTCGTTCCTTGAACGGTTTAACGATGAAAGGAAAACGCTCCTTTCTCAAAGGTGAAAGCGTCGTCTTAGTAAATCCGAAATTTTTGAAAATGTAGAATAATGAAATATGTACTATGATTTAAATTACTTTAAAAGGGCAAACAATAGCTGGTACAAAGCAAAAACAGCTGGGATTAGCATTTTTGAGATTTTTTTTTTTTTACTAAAACTTCCCAAGTGAAAAATGCCAAGCGTCTGCTTGAATAAACGAGAAACGCATTAGGTCAAGTGTGAAAGGGCCGAGCGAGCGGGAAAGGTGTGAATGCGCTTACAATATCTTTCTTGATGACAGAGCGAGTGGGCTGAAAATAAACAGCTGTTTCATTCGACGAATTTTTATATTTGTGAAAAGAATATTTTATTTTCGCGTCTCTCGAAATATCGCGAACACGACGAAAAAAACTCTTGTTTAGCGAGAATCTTGACGGTTAAAAATTCCAGTTTGTTGATATTAAATGAAATGGCTCTTACTGATCCTAACGCTTGAAAAAGTTAAATGAACGAGAATAGTCCGTTCATGTTTTCTAAATATGATATCGTTCAACGTAAAATTGATGAAATCTGAATGAAACAGAAGCAATGAACTGAAAATATTTAACTTACCTGTGTAATAAAGTGGAGAGATCAGCGAAGCTGTGCCAGTGCCAGCAACGAAAGAACTAATGGCAATCTGTGGATAAAACGAAGTCAAAGCAAGAAATACTACTTCAGAAACACCAGTAGCCATGGCATTTAAAGCAATTCCCACAAGTTTCGCTCTCATATCTTCTACGAAGACGATCAGAGCCAGCCCCAAAGTCATACACAGAACGATGTACGAAGCTTTCACTAAGTACGGAATCTTCTGTATAAACCACGGCGCGAGTATTTTTGTAACCATCAATGGCGTCACGAAACATACAAGAATTGTAGATGTCGGAAGTTTTCGCCCGCTCAGGATATCTTCGGAGGCTGTATAGAGTAATTCTTGATTGAAAAAACTGAGAGTGCCGAAGATGAAGAAACAGAGCGTATTCAACCAGCTCGAGCTTGATTCAGATCGTCTACTACCAACATCGGGGCTGAAATAACAGAATATCTCTTTTATGCGACCCCACATGGTTTAAAACTTGGCTATTCAAAGTTTTCCAATGTTAAACTCGCCAATGCCTTCGTTTTCACGGCATCGTCGCGGAAGACAACACGACCCTTCGGCGTCAGATCTAAAGCCAACGCGAAAACTATATCTTGTTCTTTTCTCCGCTTAAGTAAATTTAGCAAAATTTGAATTGCAGATGGTCGGCGGATGTCCGCCAAAGGGAACTGATAACAATAGCTGCTCTCAAAACAAAGGTCATCTAATTTTGAATTGAAAAGAAAATTTGCGTAGACGCCCCCGATGTTGGCAGAAGTTTCCTAAGGGTAAAGGTTTGAAATTTGATAAAAATTTACAAGAAAAATGTTTCAATAAATTGGAATAAGAAAAATCAATGCTTAACTGTTAAAAATTAACTCATTAAAATTTACGCGGAAGCCCATCGAAAGCTGGAGGTTACCTTGGCAACTATCACATTACATAAGGGGCGATTGTTTTAAGATACAAAATTTTCCATATAATTTCGTACTATTTAATTCCCTCGTTTTCACTTGCGCTTTAAGAGAGAATTATACCGTACGAAAGCGAGAAAAGCATTCAATTTGGCAGATGTGAGTTTCGGTTTTAAATGAGCTATTAAATGAAAAACCAAAACAGATAGACGTCGACATTCAAATAACCATGGTGTGGCTAACCCTGAATAAATTACATATTCAGTTGTCTGGAAACCAATTCTATCCGATAATCTAAATCCCATCGTCTTAAGCGTGTAATATAGACAACCACTGCTCTAAATTGTTTAGAATTCTCCCCTTAAGAGGCGAACTTTAATTCTGCTAAATGTTTACAGATCTCCTGCTACGAGTAGTCTCTCTTAGCTTAGTAAGCCACCGCATGAAACAGGAAATGAAACTCGCTCCAGATTAATTAGTTGAACGGTTGTAGCAAGCAGCGCCGAGTATTTTCTTTTCCAGCACACACTAGTAAGGTGGGTTAGCTCTAGGAGAGCGAAAACTACTAATTTTTGCGGAGAGGAAGATTAGTGAAACGAAAAATAATCGGGAATCAAAGGAGATTGTCAACTGGTGTGATTTCTTTCATAAGTTGCTGGTTCCGACTTCAACAATGTAGAGACATTCAAAGAAACATGAGCTTAGAAACCAAAACAAAGACGAGAAAGACAATAAAAAAACAAAATCAGGCAAATTCAATAGTGGTGTCAAAAACCACTGTTGTGCCATGTCAGCGAGCAAGCGAGCGACAAAACTCCTCGCAGATTTTCAACGTACAGGTGATAAACAGAGATCTTAAAACAAGACAAAAACAAACTGACGTTTCGAATACGTCTCTGCTTTCTTATAATCCAAATCTCACTACGGATTATTTTCAGTATCTGAGCAACTGCGCTCCCCCCTGCCCTAACCTCACATCACCCCTAGCTTGTTATCAGTTGATTGTTATACGGCTAGGGGAGGAGTACGTGCGCAGTTTGCTCAGATACTGACATTGATCTTCGATCCTTTAAAACAATTTCTCCTGGAGGAAAAAATGCGCAGAGTTACACGCCACCAAAAAAACCAAATTATTGTCAAACGGAACAATACTCCTATGAAAATCAAGTGTTTATATTACTCAGACTCCCTCAAAATAATACGAATAACCTTTCATATATCATGCTTCTGAATAAATAAACAAGATGGAAGATTTCCAAAGTCGCTTCTTTTTTTATTATGTTCAGCGAAATTTAACTCGAAGCAGAACCGTAAAAATTTTTTTCTCGCAAGACAGAACATTTGAATCACCAATCCACAAAGTCAAATTCCCACAGAATATTTGAATAAATGACAAGTGGGTGCCAGCCCCTTTATTAACTCAACATTAGTCTTAAGTTATCTGGTTGACTGTTGTTAAGTTAGGGGAGGGGTAGGTGCGTAGTTGCTCAGATACTAAAATTGATCAGATTTTTCATACCCTACGAAAACAGCAACCTCGAATGAATAAACACAAACACAAAAATGAATCCAACTCAGACATCACACCTTTATCACAAAAAAGACACTGCAACTAATTTTAAGTCGGAAGAGTTGTTGTCTCCAGAGCCCCTCGGTTCAGAAATCCACTGAGGAGCTTTGGTTAACTAACTTGTAAACCTACACTATATCTTTTAAAAATATTTTTTTTGAATGATAAACTAATACTTACTGACATTCGAAAGAAATTAAGTCATTCAGAGCCAGACCAGACTGTTCATGCAATTCCGACCAGCGGAAATAAGTGCCTGACATGCGTATTACATTTCGTCTAAGACATAAGGAGATGTGAGCTATGCTGCTTAGTTAAAAGCACCGTAAATGAAATAAATTTGAACGCAAATCAAAACAAAGTATCAGTATTTCTCTAATGCTGATTTTTTTGCCTTTCAAAAAGGCAAGCGTTCAGGAAATGTAAACAACAGCGAAAGTTTCAAACGTCGTTTTAAGCTCTGTTAAAACTAACACATAATTAACCCCATTGCAAAAAAGTTATAAACACTTAATTTATGAGCCAAGAATATCGTTGACTTGTCTTTTTTCCCACCCAAGGAGACGTCTGCCCTTAGAACAGCGCAAATAGAACGTAACTGATAAATATGTTCCGCTCTAACGACTGGGTCAATTTCGTTTACAGAACGAAATTTACAATAGGTGTCAAAACCAAAGGGTTTCCATGGTTTCAATAGAGAGTTTTCGATCTACGTTTGGTGTGTTCACGACAAACGTCAAACTGCGGTCAGCGGTTTGTGGTTAGAAGTTATCAGTTTTGAGACTTTCAGCTTTTTAGATCGAAGTCGGCTTTCAACCGGAAAAAATCAACATGTGCGCCGACATCTTGAATCACACAAAGGATGAGGGTCATTCATTTCAAACACAAAATGCGGCCAAAAGATTGGTTTCCTAGCGTCCAAAACGGATTGGTTATATATTCATAGGACATACGCGATAACTTTTGAACAGGAAGGGAAAAAGGATCGAGGGAGTTCAAACGTGGACGGCAAACGGCGAACGTGACCGCTGGAGTCTGGTCACGTAAGACCTAGACGTTTGCGGTCACACATACTCAGATACAAACGTGGATCTAAAGATCCCTAATAGAAGCGGTTATCGGTGATCTACCGCCTATCAAAGCATCGACAGTCGCTCATGCAAAATGTTACTGAAACCCCCGGAAGGCCTGGGAACTACCTTTGAATAATTACCATTTTGAATGGTTTAGAAAACTAGTCAACCAATCACATGATGCAAAATGAAAATTTAAATGCAGAGCGGGCATTATAAGCTCAAGTTAGCCATGCAGCTAATAAATTAGAATACAGGATTCGCTGCCAGTTATGTACCAAGGAAGGGCATTACCAGCTTCTATGCCCAAGAGAATCGTGGAACAAGATAACAGTCTGAAGTTTAAGCTAAATTCAACGTCTTCTACAAACTGTGCACGATGGAGTATCGTCACATTCTTCAATTCCTCGGGCAAATAAGCGAATAAGATGGCGATGCACCCTGAAAACAAAGGGATAAGTGTAGAAATAAGTTCCGGATCTCAAGGAACAAATGATGGTTGATTGGGAAATCACAGTGTTGACCCTGTAACTCTCATGAGTGACCAAGACAGAATTTTCTTTACAATACCAATACAATATCAAGCAGACAAGCGATAGAAATAATCGTAGATAAAAGAAACAGGTTCGTACTTTACGTGTATGGCAGAATGTGTAACCAACTCTCCATCCACGTTCCAAACGCTCCTGGCGCGGGGTCGTGGCGTCACTGATGACGTTTTTGCGGCCAGCCGCTCTTCGTCATCATCTCTAGTTCCAGTCTCTTCACTGCCGTCGTTTTCGTCACCAGTCTCACTGTCCTCACATAGAGGCCGGAAGTAAAACTCCCGCACGCGATGAATTTCCACGAAATCGAAGTTAAACTAATTGCGAGAGAAGAAAAACCACAAAATAATCAATAATTATTGCTGATCTAAAAAAATGAAAACAAGGGACAATGAGCAAAAGAAAGCAAATAGAATTTCAATATTAACCTGATCTGCCCTGGAAGAGATTCTGATCATATGTCTAAGGTACTGTAGGCGTGATGTATGTCGAACAAGAATGAGATCCAAACAGCCGTCAGCTAGATGCGCACTGGGAGAAAGACCTTCGGGACTCTTGGCGCATGCGCATGAAATATTTGCACCAATGACACTGATGAAGCGACCTTTAATGGAACGCCAACCTGGAGAGAGAGCAGAATCATAGTCAACAGCACAATTTTTTTTTTCTTTGTCGTACACTCAAGCATACGGATTAACAGCCTTCTTTGTATTGCGATCGAGGAAGAAAAATCCATCGCAAGTTCGCCCTTCTACCCATTCGCCCCCAGGAGGTCAAGTTCACTCTATCATTACCCTAGGCGATGAACGGGTAAAGGTGGGGGCAACCTTGTTATATTTGATGGGGCGAACTCGTGACTGGGGGGCAAATAATTAAGGACGAGCTTGCAATGGAGCGCAACTTCCTGATATCAGTCATCATTATGCAACCGTCTTTCTGGTCGCAAAGGACGCTTCCAACATATTCTGAGCTTGGAACTATGAAGGAAGGGTCTCACATATGATCCTTGTACATGGCTTGACTTGCTTTTCCACGTTTTCCAAACCTAGAGGCCGGTTATCTGTGTTCACGATTAATCGAAAACATTCGCGCTGCCTTCTCGACCAATCAGGTGCAAAACTTAAACCAATCGTGACTTGGTCTTCCGCGTTTTCCGCTCCTCGAGCCGGTTACCAATGTTCGTGATTCGCTTAAAAAAAACTCGTGTCACCCATTCAGCCAATCAGGAACAAAACTTAAACCAATTGTGACTTGGTTTTCCGCGTTTTCCCGCCCTTTGGGCCGGTCACCGTTGTTCTTGAATTGCCTAAAAATCTTGCACCACCCTCTCAATCAATCAGGTGCATCGGTCATTTGCGTTTCCCACACTTGTTTAGCATTTGCTCGGTGCTAAACATTCCAAACACGAAATCTGAAGGGGCAAATTAATGCTATAATCGTGACAAAACGAAAACATCTTTCTTTATTAGACGAGTGAACTTAAAATTAACCATTTCTCTTTTAGCCCTGTTCGACCGAGTGTAGTAATAGAAAAGAAAAATATAATAGCGAGCCAGTGAAAAAAATCAAGGTAAAACCACACAAATTGCCTGAAGCACGAAAAAACGCGGGTCATGAGCTCGTGATCGGTTTTAGGTTTGCATTTGATTGGTTTGAGAGCCTATCGCGGATTTTCTGGAGCAATCATAGACCGTAGTGCAGAAAACAGCACTCGCACCCAGACCTTTCCATCCGGAGGCCAGCGTGCCAATCACCTTGTCTCCTTGGTAATAAAAAATATGTAAAAAATTTCAATTATCAGTTCATTTAGAAATAACCAACCTGTTGTGGACTGTTGAAAGTCACGTTGCTGACCTGAGTCACAAAAATCACTACAAACATGGCAGCTGAGGAAAAATAAAAAACAAATAAAAATAAGTAAGGAAAGAATCGTCAATTGCGAGAAATAAAACCACAACTTAAGACTTAAGATAGGCGACGTTAGCTCTTGAATTAACAAGATAATTTGGTGTTTTCGATTGACTTAATGACTGATGGAGAGATAACACTCCAAAAGACAGCTTTAGGAACTCTTTAAGGAGGTCAATGATAAAACCAAATTATCTTGTTATACCCTTCCCTCCCCTCTCCTCCCCTCCTCCCCCTTTCACACACACACACACACAGATCATAAAACGACACAAAACGATCAGTAGCTCATAAAAAGGTTTAAAGCTCACTTACCCAGACCGACATCTAGTTCTGTCTCGTGGCGCATGCTCTGTATTTTGAGCCGGTAGAAAAGTAACTGCACCATCATAGCCCCTGTGCGGAGAAAAATTGAATCACAAAAATTTACATCTAAGTACAATTTATGGACAAACTTTCAGGTGAGAGTGAAAAGGAATCCTGTATTGGATTGGTTTGCTTCACTCCGTCCTGTGATTGGTCTTAAAATCTCGCGCAAACTTCTCAATCAATCAGGTACAAAGTTAAAACCATGTGTACCTCGGTCATTTGCGTTTTTCCGCCCATGAGGCCACTTACCTGTGTTCTTGATTGGTCTAAAAATCTCATACCACCCTCTCAACCAATCAGGGGGAAAAACTAAAACCAAGCGCGGCACGATTATTAGCGTTTTCCCGCGCTTTAGGTATAAGATTTTCCCGCCCTTACAAGTTCTTACTTTGAGTTCCCATTGGTTCTTTCAGATGCTGAGCTTTATTCGGATTAAAGGGGGTAAATTTCAGAGCGAATGGCGAAGGGCACACGCTCGATACGTCAGCTTAGGAACTCTTTACAGTGGCCAATTTACGTCATCAACTGAGTTGATAAAACCAAATTACTTGGTCCTGACTGGCCTTGCTCACAGCTGCTTTAGTTTGCATCTAATTGGTTGAGAAGATGGCGCAAGAAAATTAATAATTACTTTACCATAAGAACCCTGGGAACCGAAACCATCGCTAGACTTGAAAGAAACACATTTCCAGCAAACCCTGCGATCAGATGGAAACTTAAGGGTGCATTAAACACAGTTTGAAGAAATCCGTTTGAATTACCGGTTTGTCATGAATTTTTTAAAGCCAGAAAAGTCATAACGTTTAGGACCCATCCAGCGAAGTTTCTCGCTATCCTGCATGACGTCACCAAAGAATCCATATGCTACCATGACAACACTGTAACGTAATATTTCATTCTTTCGTCTGACTGAGCAGACATCGAGCGGCTGAAGGTCACCTGGAAAGATGAAAAAACAGCAGGTAAACCATAGTGGGCGGAGGGGGAGTGGTATCCGGGTGTCCACATTGTCTGACACCAAAGATATTGTGAAGACAGGATCATAAGTCACAACTCAATAGGAATTATTAAGAAAAAACTTGTCTCAAAATGTTCCTTAGCTTATTTAGGCAATAGTGGGAAAAGACATTTCAGAGATTTCTTTGTCAAAGTGTATCTGAAATCAGCCCCTGCAGTGAGTAGTCAATTATTTCACTCATTTTTCTGTCAGTCATTAAGTTGATTGGATGGTTAATCTGATAGTCAGACATTCAGTTAGTCTGTCAGTCAGTTCATCTGTCAGTCAGTCTACCAGTCAGTCTGTCATTCAATTGGTCAGTCACTAAGTGAGTCACTCAGTGAGTCAGTCAGTCAGTGGTCAATTAGTCAGTCAGTCACTCAGCTAGTCTGTTGACAGTCAGTCACTCAGTTGTCACTTAGTCATCAGTCAGTTGGACAATCACTCTTTGGTGTGTCCCTAGTTCTACTAGTCAACCCCTTTGTCAGACTGTTATCATTCTACCAGTAGGTCAGTCAGTCACATTGTCAGTCAGCCAGTCATCAGTCTGTCAGTTGGTCATTAGCTATCATGTGAACACTAACTTAGCCTGTCGATAACTTAGCTATTCATATTAGCTATTTCTCTGTGTGACCCTTGGTCAGCCTGTCAATCCCTTCTCAGTCTGTTATCACTCAAAGAGACTTTTATCATACACCATCAGACAGCTATATGACCAGCCAGTCGTCATGTAAGTCAAACAGTCACCACACATTCATTTGAATAGCCTCCAGTTTTCATAACTTCCAACTTTGGAATTTATGGTTTCTACAGAAAAACGCCTCTTCCACTGACCTAAAATTATATGCAGGGCTGAAGTAATAGGATCATTATTTCCAGTTGTGCAGAAGGCAATAGCATCTGTTGACCCTATGATAAAATATAGAAATACAAAAATTTTACAAAACTAATAAAAACAGAAAAACAACACTTAAACAACTTCAAGTGTCAATAGTGCAGATCTCTTATTGGCTCACTTTTCTTAATGCCTCAACCCTTTAACTCTCATGAGTGACCAAGACAGAACTTCTCCTTACAATATTAATACAATATCAACCAGATTAGTGATGAGAAGAAATAACAATATCAATTTGGGGATAATTAGTTGATCCAATACTAAATTCCCTGAACTAACTTTATAAGAATTGTGTGGTTGACAGCAAGGAGGGTTTAACTTACTCCCTGGTGGGGAAATGCTTGTGCCACAGTAGTGATAATGAAGACCAACTTGTATGCTAATTTATCTTATGCTGTAGATGATTTTAGGAATAAATTCTTATCCTGACCTCTCAATCTTGGGTTCAATGCATTGATTCATGAGTCACCTTGTCTGTCATGATCAATTACAGCAACTGGAAGATATTTGACTCACCTGCAGGTATGATACCTATGGGAATATTTAGTGGTACAGGTTGGAAGTTATGGGATGTTGAATCCAACATGGCATCTTGTTGAGCTCGTATCAAAAGTCCGTTCAAGACTTCATGGAACATACCGTCTCCACCAACAGAGATGACACTAAAAAAAACATTGGAGCAAGTTAATCATAATTCATGGTTTCTCTAAAAACAAAATATAGACAAGAACTTCTGAAGGGTGTTATTTTTTACCAAGTACTTCCTTCAATTGAAATTCAAAAAACATTTTATGATTTCCCTAATGTGAGAAAATACACCATATTTACTTTAACTTGCTTTAAAAACCCTAACCTAATGCAAGGTAGAACACAACTCTGTACCCTGTAACCTTGTAAAGAACAGTGGTGAAGCTTAGGGTAGAAACCTAACCTGGAAGCTTGTGACATGACCATAGCAGTTTTATTTAATTTGGCTTAAAATCTTTTTTCATTTTTTTTAGTTATTATGTATTACACTTACCCATCAATTTTCTCCAATCCCTCTTTTAGAAGATAATCTTTTGCATGATTTGCTCTCTGAGTAACTGAATAGAATAACAAGTCAAATATTATAGAATCATTATCAATTATTATTTTCATTGTTCTCATTCTCATTATTATCATCACCATTATTGTTATCATCAGCATTATTAATATGATCATTGTTATAAGGCCTTTGACTTTAAGAGAGACTGGTCTCTAATTTCTCATTATCAGTATCACCCTTGAAACAATTGGAAAAGTCATGAGAATATCAGAAATGATCACCAATCTAAGAAGTTCCTGATTGTCAAATGATTTCTCCTTGTCAGTATCATAGGAAATGTAGAGAAAACAGTGTGAAGAATTTGAATACCAATGTTGAGGTGTTAATCATTAGAAATGAGTACAAGCAACTACACCTGTAAAACTTCAGCCTACAAAAAGACACAATATATGCTCCTGGTTTGTACGCGTGATTAATACTAATCAAAAATGTGATTTAAAAGTATTTAAATAATTCTGTATGTACTACTTAAGTGCAAAGGAATTGCACATTCTACACTTTGCTACATACTCACCTATTAAATCAACCTTGATGTTGGCTAGTTCAAATAATGGTTGCACCTGCTCTGTGTATATTTTACGACCTAATTTTCTTCCCCCAATTGGATTGATAAAAACCAGCAATCTTTTGGGCCTGTTAAAACCTGCATAGAGAGATTTGAAAAAAATTGAAATGTATATCATCTTAAATATAGTAATAAACCCCTTTTAAACAAAAACGTTTGCTCTTGATTCTCTTTGGAAAAAGGGACAATAAGAATGATGGACACTGAGAAAGACTGTAAACAACTCTGTAGGGAAATTACATTCATGATCAACAGTTATAATAATTTTAGAGCCTATTAATGTTAATACAGCTCATGAATACCTGAAAGAATGCTCTGTATACTATCAACCCATTCTTCACACAAACATTCATCATGGCAGTCGAACACAAACACTTTCTCTCTCCATTTGTGTTTCCTTGTTCTCTTGACAGCATAAACACAGAATGAGGAACTTTTAAATGAAGCTAACTCAATTTCTCCTTCTGTGGACTGCACAGTCTTTATTTTATTAGGCACAACTGCAAAGACCTCAGACAAAGATAAGGTCTTCTTGAAAAAGGCATTACCTGAAAAACAAATATCCTATGACCTCAATCAAAGCTACTTAATCATTGATAAAATCATAACCAATGACACTGAAATGCCAGTACTGTTACCAATGTTAGTCATACAAAACCAACCAAGCATATTACAGGAAACTTCCAGAGATTCCTTCTCATTTCATAAGCACTAGTACATGATCTTATCTTATATTATTAGCAGGCAAAGACGTCAGAGAAGTCTGATTTAATCAATACTGTATTTCTTGTCATCGCATTAATCAGTTTTGTGTGTGTGACTTTTAATAAGCAACAGTAGGTGCCCTGAAGTATAAAAGCCCACGTCTTGTGAGACATTTTGGAATCTTATAAAAAAAGTAGAGACATTAAGAGTGGAAGCAGACTTTTACTGATACTAAAAAAAAACTGATTCACGCAAAAAAATTTTCTGTATGTTCACTTAGAACTATTTTTTTAAGGCTCAACTCTTGAGATGCAAAACCCGATCCCAAAAATATTCCAGTACAATGCTATAGTCAGACATACATTCGAGATAATCTTATTGATATTGGGATAAGTCCTTGCAAGTCGAGCTATCACCATGGAAAGCGTTTTTTTAATATAGCGACATTACTTCATATTACGTAGCATTAAAATAGGTTCATTGCAATTTCCTCTGAGGTGAAAAACTAGGACAAACTTAGTTAATGATCGTATCGTCAAAATCGGCGAAAAGTAAATAACAATCAGATTTGTTTATTTTCATGAACTAAGTCCATTGAACGCAACTTGAATTCGAACTCGCATCGGCGTTTTAACAGGAAATCTCCTCAGTGCGCAAAACCATTTGATTCATACAGAGTTTAATATTGTGAAATCATCATCACCATATGGGCGAACGAGGAACTTAAAGATATAAACTAATCGATTTTGCAATCAATCAGCACAGCTGAATCGCGCGATGAAGCTTGAAAAAAAAATTATGATCTTCAGATTACAACAGACACACGCGATGAAAACATTTCAAGATTTTCTCACCAAGTCCAGATTCTTCTATACCCACATGTCCCCATGAAATAGATGTGCCTGATAAAATAACGTCAAAGGACTTGCCGTCAACATCTAACACTGACCGCAACAAAACACAGCCGTCCGCCATGTTTATTTCTTTCTCTGAAGAAAAGGAACTAGTTTCCAGTTCTTCAGGTTAAGCCGGTACAGGAAGGTGAAAATGCTACGTAAGAGGGCGGGTGGAGTGGATGGGGGAAATATAGCTGTTACGGATCAGTTAGCGAAAAAAAAATTAAAGGAAAAGAATGGAAAAGCGTCGATGAATGTTATTCTAACTGGGCATTTATATTTTGTACGGTTTCCTATTTTATTTCTTAAGCTCCTTGTTCCTGACCGGGTTAAAATCTTTGTACAACAAAACATGCCATGATCGGGGGAGATTTTGACGTTTACGTTGCCCGGTGGAAAACGCGCCACGCGGATGTATTTGAAGGATTAGCCTATTTTCCGACTCAAGGGCCGCTGGGGGTGAAAAACATATCCTTTGACACAGCATACTTGCTATAACCTTGGTGGCGCATTTTTAGATGTTTTCTTTGAAGCAGGTCAACCGTGGCTATATTTAGCTTATTTCACATGCTGAGGGACTAAGATCAAGAGTTATCCCGAGTAGGACGTGAAATTTGCTGGTACTTCCTTTCACCGGGCAACATTGGCTTGATAATTGATCACAAATTTCTTTGAAAAGTGTAACGTCCAATCAAAATGCTTTGAAGGCAGCTAGCCTGAAAGGTGTTAATCGCCCTGCTCACAATGTATTATGGGTAATACAACATGGCGATTTCAGGGGTAAGCGGCTTGTCTAGCGTTTCCCAAACATGACCTATAAACAAAGAAAAGAGCTCCTTTCTCCATCATCGGAAGGTACGAAATATTAGTTTATCTTTTTATTTCACTTTCACTTTCTATAATGACTATAATCAGGTCGTGGATTTTTATATTTGTGCATAGTACGGGGCGGTGCTTCTAGAATTTCGCTCGCTGTGGTGTCAAAAAAAATTTTTTGCCTGGCTAATCGCTCCCTTCTACTGTCCGTTAGCAGGAAATGACACTTGCACACACCCAGAGAAGTGCGGGAAGGAGCAATTAAACATCGACAGTTCAATCTGCTTTGTTGGTTTTTACATCAGAAGGATAACATGACAAAATAAATTTTTGTAGGTTTTGTTGAATTACTGTACGCCGTCGCGTATAGTGCCTTTAAATTAATACCCGGCAATTAACCGATTCGTCTCTACATTTGGAAAGCCTAGAGGAGCGTATAAAATATCTTTTGAATCTAACAATACCGTAATTCAACTTATTTATTCTCGGATGGACTGGAATTTCCGAGACGCAGTAATTGTGAAGTGTAGTTTGCAGTAATGTGATTTTTTTCTTCATTTGTAGACTTTGACGACGTGGTTCAAGTTGTTATGTGAAGTTGAAGTCAATCTATGGCGTAAAGCTGAGTATTTTTACCCAGGAAATGAGGAGAATCAAACGAGCTCTCTCACTCAAAGGCAAGGGAACAGATGATACACTTTCCGAACTTGCGGAGCAAATGTCATTTGATGTGAACGGCAAAGACAATGGTGGGTTACATTTAGCTTTCATGTAGATATATTAACCTTTCGTCTGTACCTAAATTATTTCGAAATTGATGCTCAGAGAACTTTGAACATAATATTTGTAGTTCAAACAGATCACTTCTACTCATTAAGCCTGCGATTTTATTGGCCATGGGTATTTTGCCACTCCACACCGCAAAATATTGGATGACTAGCTATATCACATTTTAGGTGATGTTGTCTCGATGTTTTTACTAACATGTTTGACGGTAGCTCGCGATTAATACAGATCCAAGTACTTAGCCAGATATTTCCTCCCCTTTTAAATATGTTAAGTTAAAGTATATTATTGATCCAGTGCGTAAAAAACATTAAAGTTAGCGGCCTCGTATTTGATTTTGCATCAAGTCTATCAAGCGCGAAAAGCTTTGATCTCGAAGTCATGTCTGTAGTTTTTGTTAACAAACAGAAGAATTGAGTTTGCATTATGTTTACAGGATAAACGCTTGAATAAACAGAACACTGATTTTATTTCCTTTTGGCGTGTTATATTTACATGATATCCAGTCTCATTTGAATGATGCATAAGCGAATCTCGTGTCTTCAGATTTTTTCTCACTCGTTGTACTGAACATTCGCTCACGGAAAACGAACATACTCCGGCTGAAATTTCCCATTTTTCTGTTATTAACATATTACTTAGTCAATATTTGCCGGATACTGATCACCCTTTAGTGAGCCGTAAAAGTAATAATCTGACTGTATTGTCAGTTTTACGAGAAGACAGATTCTTTCGTGTTTACAAAGGTTAAAGGTGTTTGACAAAATTTACATGTCAAGCGAGTGTTCTAATTGCGAACTTTCTTCATGCTTTGTGAATTTGTAGAATGTAGCCGCTATGTGATCTTGGTCAAATGTGCCTCACGGTTTCGATTGAAGAAGATTAAGCGTTTGCTTAAAGCTAACGTCAATTCTGTTACACTATGTCAATGACTTCCTTTCAGATATGATAAACATTTAAATCTACAGCATTGTGAGAGAATTCTCGATGCGAAAAGCTTTTTCAACAGCTTTGCGTCTCCTTTACATAAAAGTCTCTTGATTAACTTGATGGTTAGAAATAAATAATTTATGTCTGTGGTTCAGGAATAGTTTATTTGTACAGATGTTTTTCTAGAAGCAATTTTTTTGAGATAAGATAGCATATTCTTGGGCATTTTTATAGAAGCAACTTGGAAAATATACTTCATGTTGCAGAACATTTCCTCTGATTAATTATACATTTTGAAGATTACAGCAAGTAGATACCAAGAAATGTTTATTTTCAAGTATTTCTTACAAAAAATATATATCTTCTAATGCAGTTTTAAATCTTCCTAACCCTGTCTTTTTCTTTGGGTCAAATTTTTTTTGAAGTCATATTATTTTGTACAGAACCATTGAATACTGCTGATAAATAATAACTAAATTTGTTTCTCTCTGGCCAATTAGATTTTTTCTTGTGTTAGATAAAGTTGCACACTTCAATTTACTTTTTACTACATAAAAAGGTTTGTTTTACAGTATGTTTCATTTGTGGTGTTACTGCAAAGAGTGCACCCCCAATTAAGCTAAGTTGTGTATTTTGAAGAAAAAATATTGACAAGGGCTATACTTGAAAAAAGTGCCTTACTTAGTTGTGTTTGATTCAAAATATTTACCTCGAGAGGGAGTGCTGAGTTCACAATCTAGAGTGATTTCTATTTTTTTGTATACATTGTTCAGGGTGATCACTAAGCACTTAGTCCTGGCAAAATTCACCAAGCAATTGCCAGTTGGATTTTGTCTGGTGATCGCTTAGTGAGGCACAATGGACACTGCTATGGTTACACACTTGCAATTATTCACCATCTTTAAGCCACTTCACTTGAAATTTCAGGCGGGTGTCTAATTTCTTAAATGCAACCATGATTGTTAGGGATTCTGTTGAGTCTTTTTGGGGAATGTTTTGACCAGGAAGTTCAAACATTTGAGTTTGTTGTTCTTGATCAGTGTTGTGTTGAAATGACTGTTTGAACAAAATAAAGAAACAGAATGATTACTTCGTCATGAAAATGCAAAACTCCTTCAATCACATCATCAATCAAAAATGAAAAAAAAATTTTTTTTTTTTTTGCGAAACTCCTAAGTTTTCTTTTAGATTGAATAAAATAATAATCATTATTCACTTGAGTGTTAAGGTAAGAATAATACCTTTTGAGTTAAGAATAATACCTTTTTCCAATGAGTATATTCTTTTTTACCTGGAGGGTATTTATTTTCTCTAAGCTCTGTAGGATATGATTATCATCGACATTGAAGTAGCTCATTTTGCTCTCAAGTACTTGAATTTTCTGAAATTTGAGTGTTTGTTTTTTGAGTTGATTTGACTTAATCACTCACAAAGTAAAGTGCACTTGATAACTTTGCATATATTGTATTTAAATTGACTAAAAATGAGATAATTGTATTTATATTTTTTCTACCAAATGGAGTAAGATATTCATGTACAATAGATCAAATTCAATTTATTTGGTCATTTTGTTAGCTAAAGGACAAATTATTTGCAAAATGGATCTTTTAATTTTGATATAGTTTAATACAATGTATTGTACATACCAGCCTGCTAAAAAATAGGAAGCAATTATATTTAGATGCATATGTTCACCTCACAACATAGCTTAGATTCAATTATATGTAGATTTTTATCAAAACATGATTTCATTGATGAAAGTGAAAAGTATAGTGATGACTCTTGCTACTCCTTGAAAAGTCACACAGGATAGCAGAGTACAGTACAAAAGTATATGCTATTAAAAAAATATGTTCAGAAATAAATTTGGAGTTCATTAGGTATGGTTACATACAAGCAAGGTAAACAGCAGGATGTTATTTCGTAGACCACATTTACCATGTTGATAAAGTGCTCAGAGATATGCAAATATAAGGGGATAAAGGTTAATGTCTAAATGTTTTTCCTCAGCGCTGTCTCTTATTTTAAGAATGAAAGGTAGAAAAAAAGTTTCAAATCACCAAGCAATCCTTTTATCTGTTGAATTTTCAAGAATACCAAGGGATTTTTGGCAGTAGTAATAGGTACATGTACCACAGGCAGTAAATTTTACTTGTTACTGCCTGAAAAGGACCACACTGTTTTTCATTTTTTGTTTTATAAATAGGGCTACAGCACTCTTTTTTTTTTTTTTTTTTGCCAGGAGGTACTGTTTATGCAGATAAAATGCTTAACTTCCTCTGAGAAATTACATTTTAGTTTTTGTTTTGTTTTGTTTTGTTTTGTTTTTAGGTATTTTTATTGATACCTCTCAATTTTTTTTGAAGGATTATTTGTCATATGGAAAGGAAATATCTTGTGATAATCATAGTGTCAGAGTTGAGGGGATTATTTGACAATATTCTCTAAGCCCCAGAAGGATTTTTTTAGTTTTATCAAGTGTACCTATTTTGGTACTTTTCTGTGACATGCCATCTAGGAAGTTGGGTGATAAATCAATGAAAATTGTGTTGTGGAT